GTGATTAACATCACTATCATTAAAAAATGCTTCTATGCGACTATAATAATTATTTTGTTGACATGTGTATTTTAAAGTCAAATAATTCATAGAAATAATATCGTAGGAACGTATTTTGTATCTCATCATAAATTACTCTAATTAATTATGAGTTTTATTTGTTAGATGCCCTGAAAAATTTTCAAAACTAAAAACAATAGTAATTTTTTTAATTTAATTTTCTCATAGAAGAACACGCGTGGATAATTCTATTTGAAATATTGTAGTTCCAAAAAACATTTTCAAAAATTGATCAAAAAATTATTTTTTGAATTTTGAAACTTTTTTTAATTTCTAAAATTGAAGGAGTTCTTTCAAATGCTTAGTGCTAATGAGTTTAGCTAGAGTAAAATTGGACTCTTTTACAAGCATTGATCAAGTGTCTACTCATAAAAACTTATTTCACTTAAAAACTTAATTTTCAAAATTTTGTGACTTATGTCGTTTCTCACATAAATGGTTCTAATACGTGTTGCACGGTTACGAAACCTATTTAAAATTTACTACGACTTCTTGGAGTTGACTTTTTTATATGAGTTTTAAAAATAGACATAGTAATATTTGAAACGAAACATACATAATGTATTACTCATATTCTATTTGTGATTAGAATCACTCGTTTGTAATCAAATTTTAAGAATTGTTCTTCAAAACATAATAATATATTCTATAATTCATCATTTTTCTGGTGCGATAATATACTAATTATTAATGAAAACGCTCTGGTATAAAAAAAAACAAAATACAATAGAAGATAAGTAAATATCTTCAATAATTTATAAAACTTTAATGGCGTACACTAAAAAATAGTTTTCATATTCATGTTTTTTAATCATGGACTTGTTCATTAAACTTATACTTATTTACGTAACAGTAAGAACCATACAAAATGTTTTTATAGTGTTGTAAAAAATGACACACATAGTGTCTTTAAAATATTCCTATAGTTGTACAGTTTAAAGGAAAAATTTATCTATAAGGCCTTTTACACACATTTAATTACAATACCTGCATAATTAAAAGTCTAGCGTAGTTATAACTTTCATTAAAGTAGTGCCATGAACTTCTAGTGTGTCGTTAAACTCAGTTTGAGAAGTCTTACAAGCCGAAAACTTATACTCTGACGTATAAAAATTATAAAATATAAAATCACGCGTAATGAATTACTAATTACAATTATAAGATAGTATAA